TTTGTCAACATATGTTATAACATTTGTCATGACATTTTGTGTTGTTGAGACATCAGGCTTAACTTCTGATATATTGTGCGTTCCAGAATTTTAGTTGTTGTTGTATTTTTTCTCATTTGGTAGATTGCAAGTGCAGAAAATCATTATTTCTTCAACTTAAACAAAGAAGGGAGCTCAACTTTTGAAAGTTTAAACAAAGAAGGGAGCTTAAATGTTCAGAAGATGGATATCAGCGAAACAGATCTCTATCATCTTGTATGGGACCTGGGCATGTTGTATTTTTAATCTTCTGGATAAACAAACTTGATATTCTGCAAAGATTTGTTGCATACAATATATTTTTAATATTTTAGGTAAACAATGTACCATTTTTGTAAAAAATAATAATAATCTAACCCCTCGATTTTATTCCAAAACCGAAAGGATAGTTAAGTGTTATTTTTCACTATTTTCAACGGCCTTAAACAAATCTTTGTCGTCCATTTAAAGATTATCAACGCCCAAGAATCTGTCATTAGTGATTCGCGTGAAACCTAAGGGACGTTCATTATATAAGTTCTCTTACGGTATTGTAAATATAACCTAAATGATACATATGAAGCGCTTGAAACCTAAGGACACTTGGCAAAGTTCTCTACGATGGATTGCAAGGGCAGAAAATCATTTGGGTTCAAAGTTTTTTTTTTTTAAATTGTACCGAAAATATTTTGGATTATTGATATTAATTATGTTACCCATTTTTTCATCATAAAAAAATGCATGCAAGATCCATAGAGAATATTCTTGCACCCAACATTTGATCTTCACTATATTCAATAATTTGAAAATCTAAAGTTTACATCTTGAGGGAATTTGATTTTTATCTAGATCTCTAGGAAGTTTAATTTTAATCTTAATTTTAATATTCTGGATAAACAATATAATATTATGGGTAAACAATGTAATATTATAGATAAACAACGTGACAATTTTGAAGAAAAAAATTATCATATCCCTCGGTTATTTTGGTAAACCTAGGTAAAATATATGCTAGTTTTAAAAATAATAAAAATTGTTGTTGTTGGGATTCGAATCCATGTGCTAATAAAATTTTACCTCGGTGTTTTAAATACCAAGGTGATAAGTCTTTAATTTTATGACGACCTTATTCACATTGCATCTAGTGCCGAAGTAAAATGTATTTCGCGTCCGACGTTACAAGCATTATTTGTAGTAGCGAGGCTTAGTGTAGATATAGGAATTATTTTTTGTATGTAAATGATGGAATGTAAAATGGAAATGGTGTAATAACCTGAAAAAATCTTGAATTTGTGTTGGAATTTGAATATATTAATTGAATAAAATGCCTTGGTTCATGGTTGAACTTTGAATGAATCATGATGAACCTTGCTTTTGATGGAACTTGAACTATAGGTTATAATTTTGTAAAGACTTTTGATATAAACTTGATGAATGGTGTTGAATAATTTTGAATCTTGAATGGTGCATGTCTTGCCTTGCAAACTTGAATCATGATACATGCTTTGGACACTTGAACTTGGAAAAAAGACTTGAGATGAATTATATTTATACCTTAAGTTCCAAGAAACTTGTAATTGAAGAAATCCATATGAACTCAAACTTGAATTCCAAATGATCTACTTGCTTGCGTGAACTTATATTCTTGGCATTGATACATGCTTTTTGGAAACCTGCATCATAATGAATTCAAATCATCTCGCAAGCAACAAATAGTTTGAATAAAGACCTTGCTCAAAGAAGTCACAACATTGTCCTTTGTGCCATGTTTGATCAATGAACCTTGATCCTCAATTTAAATATTGATGAGATCTTAATCCATAGCTTAGTCAAAAAAATATCCTAATTAGTGAAAGCTTCAACCAAACCTTAACCACTTGACAAGTATCATCACAAAATAAGAACCTTGATTCAACCCTCTAAGCCTCTTGAAAATAAATGGCTCGTGGAGCAAGCAATTAGGAGAAACCATAATCTTTTGATAAACATAGAGAAATAAACCCTAATACAAAATCTTGAAGAAGAAAAACTTGCAACTTGATGTCGAGAAGAAAAGAATAGCCTTGTAGCTTGAGGAAGAAGAAAACCATAATAATAACTGCTTCAAAACCCTAATTCCACTTCCCTGCTCAAAGAGGAATCAGAGAAGTCCGACTTAATTGGACGAAGAAACCTCAAACCAAGAGAAATCCTGATTTGCACAAACACAAATTTTTTTAACCCATGTGCATTATTGAATGAAGGAATGTTATGCAGATGAATTTAGTGGAATGTATGCAGATGACATGCAAAGCCTAAGCCAGAAAAAAAAACAATTAGGAGGGAAAATTTTGGGGTACAACATTCTTGTCAAAAAAATATTAATTTAAGAATGCAATTTTATATAAATTATCCTTTATATATAAGATAAAATTGAAATACGCGATTTATATTTATGCATAAAATCATAAATTTATTATAACAATTATAAACTTATTTTATAGTAGTATATGAATTAGGAATGACAACTTGGCACATGCCCTATGGATACCTGTAAAAAATTATTCATAACGGGTAGGGTAAAACCCGCAAATAGGTAATTACCCATTAAAATAAGCGGGTATGGGTGCGGGCACGGGTACCTTACTATCCACCCTGCTCCATACTCGCACTACATATTTATATAATGTGATTTATATTAGGCTAAATTATAATTTTGGTCCTCCTATTTGGTCTGACTCACGAAAATAGTCCCCATTTTTAAATTCAAACAGTTTTGGTCCCTCTATTTTAAATTCAAACAATTTTAGCTCCCCTCTCATGTTTTTCCATAGAAAATTGATGAGATTTTTTAATTGATTAGGAGGAGAGAAAATCCGACCACTTCTGATAATTTGGCTTTCACTCACAATATCATGAACTTCAGAAGTATCTTCTTCAGTTGTTTCATAAACAAACCTCTTTCCACGACGATAGAAATTACTGCCATAACTCCAAGGCACTTCCCTGCCATTGGTGTACGGAATCGGACCAAGCGAAGTGGTCGTCACCGTCGCCCATCAAAGCTCTACCGCTAAAGCCCGCTACCCGTCAAAACCCAACACCTGTAACGCCTATTCGTTCAACTTGTCTCACCTTAAACCCGTAATTTTTTAGTTAATTCTAGTAGATCCAATTCTTGATGGTTTTATTTTATATATTTATTTGTGAATACATGCAATATTTTTTAAGTAATTTTTGTTAAAAAAATGTTTTATAAAAAAATATTCTAAAAAAAGTAAAAAAAATATAATTGAAATGTAAAAGAAAAAGCCTTTTAACATATTAAAAAATGAAAAATAAATAATTTAAAAAGTAAGCGGGTAAGTCCTCTGCTTGCCAACCCGCCACGTTGGCGGAACGAGTTAGATTTTTATATTCATTTTTACTTGGTGGTCTTATCTGTCCCGCTCTTTTTTTAACAGGATTAAGACGGAACGAGCGGCCCGTTTTGCCACCTCTAGATATGAATGATTGAATACAAAATTATATTATTTTTATATGTGTATGTATGACTCAATAAAAATCTTGTAAAAAAACGAATCAGTCGAACGAATCCAAACCATATTGATTTGGTTTAATATGGTTCGACTTTATTTCTATAAGTAGGGATGGCAATTTGGCTCATACACAATAAGTACCCACAAAAAATATCTATAAAGGATAAAATAAAAACCCGCAAAATAGGTACGAGCACGGATAATTACCCATTAAAATAAATGGCCATAGGTGCGGGCACGGACCTTTTATCCACCCCGCCACATACCCGCACTACATATTTAAATAATTCATTTATATTATATAAAAATGCACGTTTGTTCATTTTAAAAATATATATCACTATTAAACTACTACACATTTTAATAAAAATATTTATCTATTTTTTAACTCAACAATAACGTCCATAATTATTTTTAAAATTATATGATTTTTGTAATTTATTTATTTATTTTAACTTCAAACACGAGGAAACGGGTACGGAGATGGTATTGAACATTGGTGGCCACGCGGATATGCGTTCGAGTACGGAGATTCTTTCAAATCACGGATATAAGAACGAATGTTATAGTATTATGTCTGAATCCTACTTATTGTCATCTCTATTTAAAAGTCAATCAAATCCAACCAAACCGCGCATTTTTTCCTCTAACAATTTGGATGACTTTTAATCTCAAAACTACACAAACGGCATCACAAACACCTCTAGTGACGCCACTTAAAAAGTTGGTTACAACTTAAAATGACAAAACTTAATTACATAATTAATTTTTATTATTCATTTTCTTCCCTTATTCCATTTCTAGCATCCTTTCACATAAAAAAAAAAAAGTTCAGCCTCAAACAAGATATAGAATTACATTGTTTGTTCATAAAAAAATTTATAAAAAAAAAAAAAAAAAAGCAAGCAAATAAGTTATAAACAAATCAATCTTAAAGTGGAAGCAGAAGGCGAAATCAAATTATTATCCTTATCTACTAAAATTAAAAAATCGATGATTACATGTATTTCTCTTTCCAGGTTTTTTTCAGGTTTTGCCTAGAAGTAGTGCCTTAGGTATAAGGCATTTTTTTTATTTCACACATACATTATGTGAATCTAGTTCATATACATTTTAAAAACATTGAAAATGTATTATGCAAGTCGATTAATCTACTTACGAAAATTTGATTTCGTGTACAAAAGTCAAGTTTTTTACACTTCTACGTGAACTAAATCTATATTTACTTACGTGAATGCAGTTTGTGAGGTTTGCTTACGTGAACTTTTTTTTCAATAACGCATAGTCATCTTCAAATTTGTGAATACCTCACCACGTCAACAAGTTGCATAACCACGCGTAAAGCTGCATGTTTGCAATGCAGTCATTCTATAACCAAAGTCCTCACCACACTCATGCATATATCTACCCTCCAATCTAACAAACATAACACAGAAAAGATAAGCAAATATCATCATCTAAAAAATGTCGACCAACTATGGCCAACCTCGTGTACCCGGAGAACCAACTGACACAGCCACCTCCGTCCTTGAAACCGTGAAATCTACTGTCCAGAGTTTCGGTCCCATCAACAAAATCCACCAACATCTTTGCGCGTAATTGCCCCTCTCTCTCTCTCCCTCTCCATATAGCACATGTTTACCTTTTAATTACAAAATTTAATGATGACTTCGTTTGTAGGTTTCATTTCTACTCGCACGACATGACACGGCAAGTGGAGGCGCACCACTACTGCGGCCACCAAAACGAGGAAATGAGGCAGTGTCTTATCTACGACAGCCCCGAAAAGAATGCGAGGCTTATAGGGCTTGAATACGTCATCTCTGAGAATCTCTTCTTGACTCTTCCTGACGAGGAGAAGCGTCTCTGGCACTCTCATTTCTATGAGGTCAAAAGTGGTTACTTCTTCATGCCAAATGTGCCTTCTCCCATTGAACACAAAGACATGGAGAAAATTTGCAAGACTTATGGTAAAGTCTTTCATTTCTGGCAAGTTGATAGAGGTGATCAACTTCCACTTGGGATACCTCAACTCATGATGGCCCTCACTAGAGATGGACAAGTATATGATCATCTTGTTCAAGGCTGTGCAGAGCGTATGGGGATAGACTTTGAGAAGGAGAGAAAGAGTAGGGAGTATATGACTGGGCCAACACATGGGGTTCATCCATTGGCTAATGGTGGAGGTAAGGGTCTTGTGACAAGAGTTAGGGAGGTTGAGCTTAAGAGTGATTCAACTACCCCTAGCCCTTATGCCATCAGGGCCTCTGTTTGATTTTAACATATATAGAACATGTTGTGTAATAAATAATAATTCATAAGGGACACTACAGGCACCCTTATGATATAATAATAAGGTGATAATATTGTTATTATCATTTGAATCTGAAGGTATAAGCATTTCTGAATGACTGAAATAAATTAAAGTAAATTGTCTAAACATAGTGCTATTACAATTGAATATTTTGGGAGTTGGTTAAATGAATCACGACGATGTAAAAATACGTTATTACAACTCTAATATCATGTGTTTCTGAAACTTTGAAACAAATGTGAAAGCTGTACAAAACGTTTGAGATTAATATTGGGAGTGAAGTGAATGAGATTCAGGGAACACGCTCCAATACTCGTTGTATTGCCTTTTTTATGCCTTCCTGATCAAGTGATGTTTTCAGAAGTATTTCCTGCACCTGGATGGATGGAACACGGGGCCATTCTTATAACTTTCTATATACAGCTTTATAAACACATTGTGTCCAGATATCAGTGCTGAAGGTGATAAAATGAGGAAACTCTTGAGTAATATTAAAATACGTTACTTTATTAAGGAGATTTACCTGTCTTCCAGCTCGAGCAAGGAGAGTAAACCTTTGGTCCAAGGGAGGTGCCTACAATGATGAACGATTCAGAAATTAGAAAGACAACGTTTATGCATATAGATATAATAGAATAATGTGTCTGAAAACTCACATTAGAAAGCCAAAGCTGCAAGTCTTGTGAGACCACTCGTTTTTCAAACCCCTGACGACTGATTCTTGCATCGTATATGCTGTCACACAAAAGTCATTACTATATAAAGTATATGGATTTCAACAATATGTAACTTATCTCATATTTATACACGCAAGAACTAAAACAATCAATGACATCAATGTTTAATTCTTTCAATAAATATGCAAGATTTGTTCAGCAAGTTACTTATGACAATAAATCAACTCGTACATTGTAATAAGGAAAACAAAGGTGGGATTACATTGTGGTGGAAAATAATCTACTAATAGTCAAAACAACAATCATTCTCGTTAGGTGGATCCTTTACAATAATAATATGACATCACATATAATGTCCTATCATAAGTAATTAATCTACAAAGACAAAACTTGAAAATCAAATTCTATTTTCATTAGTCTGTCTACAACACTACTTGATCACCTTTTAACTATCACTTATCTGATATGCTCTCTATTGGTGGTCTTCATCATTTCAACACTCAACCGAACTAAGTTATGTTTAGATTGATGGAGCGGAATGGAACACCGACATTTTATCGACTTTTCACGATTTATTCCTCCCCTGATTTTCCTTTAATACATAAACCCTAATCTTATGTTGCCATCTATGCCTATTCATCCCCCAACATAACAATATCATCTACCTTTTCATTGAACTTATTTGCAATTCTTTCCCACGCAGCATTCAAGGGCGTCTATTGTGATGGGATAAGATATGGCTTCTTTTTGGTGCTAGAGAAATTTCAATTTCTAAATATAGATTAAGTAGCTGCTCACATTTTTGAGCCACTTTGCAACTTGCTTCGTTTTTCTGTATAGGATTTTCTTATCCATTGTCATTGTTAACTGATTACTACCTCTCCTTTCTTTGTAATAATATATTACCACTCTACCATAAGAAATATTGAATGTATCTCTGATTTTGGGTATTTCAAGTAGTTAAATACTTCAAACAGTTATCAAATCAAAACATACCCATCTTCCTGCAGTAGCTCCTCAAGAATTATATCAAGCCCTGGTAGGGGATCAATGCGACTGCTATTACTACGGCTGAGAGAACCAGAAATGGCTAAACCATCCTACAAAATAAAACTTGGGAGTTACAAAAATGTTCAGAGACAGACACATCCACAAACACATACACACAGACATGCATTCAGACATCCACCCATATTCATGCATATATAAATTATACATATGAATGTAGCTTTTTAGTTTATATTTAGTACACACTTAGTTTTATACAGACCTGAGGTATTACTTTGTCCAGAGTTTCTAGAAGTGGGTCTTCTTCTAGCTGTTTAATTGAAAGTGCAAGCCTCGATCTTACACTGCAAGATCAAGTTGCAAATAAAGTCAGCATACATGTAATAAAGTCCTTTCGTGTGGCTTCACATAACATAACTTAAGTATTTGGGGTAGTTTATGACATGGTATTGGAGTCTCTGTATAGTCAACAGTTTGATCTTCATCGCCTCATTAGCGTAAAGAAAATATAAATTTCTGAACAAAAAAGTAGGACGTAATATGCACTCAATAACTTAGAAACAGAGAGAGTTGGTTTGAGACAAAGAAAAACCCATAGCTTCACAATATTTAAGGCCAACAAAGAAAAACTCATAGCTTCACGATATTTAAGGCCAACAAAGAAAAACCGATAGCTTCACAATATTTAAGGCCAACAGCGTCGCTAAATTTCTATACATAGATATTGGGCAACCAACAAGCTCTGTAATTCAATGATATTAAAACATGTATTTAGTCTTCCAGCAAAATAATAAATAGATAGTTCCTTTAGAAGGCATAACTATTGGGAATCTCACCTATCAATACTAATAACTTTGACCCTCACTTCTTCGCCTTCTTTTAAGATATCTCTTACATCTTGAATTAGATCCCATGACACTTCTGAGATATGTATTAACCCGGAAATGTGATAAAGACCTGCAGCATTTTGTGGTGTCACTTGTGACTTTTTCATGATTAAGTGAAAAAGGATACAATGAACATATATGAACTGTGCATAGTAGTTACATAGTAGTTACCGTCAGGGAAGCGCAGATAAGCAAAAGCACCAAAGTCCTCAACAGAACCAACTCTTGCTTCAAAAATGTCCCCTATGTTGATATATTTTGAAAATTTAGACCAGGTAGCATCCTTTTCAGATAAGACCAATTTCCTTTTCTCCTCATCTACGGTAATTACCTTAAGACAAACGAAACTGCTATCATTTATATATTTAAAACAATCCTTTGTTCAAACATAGCAAGCAGGTTGAACATATAATAACCAAATTCTGCATAAACAAAGGATCATGATGCCAGACTGGTGCACTGGAAGCACTCAATACTTAAGAATTTGCTATGTTCCACGGTTCAGATAGAGCTTGAAATGTACGGCAAGAATATACATTAGGTTTCACGTTTCATGGGGAATAATGATACTTTAAGAGTTTCAGGAGTAATAGATAGATACGCCACAGAAAGTGTTGGGTTCAGGCAGAATAATAAGGCATTGATTAGTTAAATAAAATAAATACCTTTACTGATAAGATGGAACCGATCTTTTCTTTCGCAATATCTTGAATAGATTTACTTGGTTCTGCATAAAAAAAAAAGGATCAAAGTTTAGCAAATAAAATACATCAACAGTTTACACCTACTAATTTGAAATTAATGAAGAGCACCTTGACATGAATGGACTGGGCTCAAGAGAGGGAATGGGAGAAAACCCATGATAGAGTAAAACCGAATGAGCAAGCCACCGGCATTAAAACCCTCAACCCTACCGTTGTAAACGAGCTTACTATCTCTGTATGCGGTTGCAGCCTTCCAATCTGACGATCTCTACTTCATTGCAGACATTAAGTTTTAGAACACAACACATACATAATAAACTGACAATGTAGCAACTTAAACTCAATTATTAATATTATTATTACTAAACCCTAATCTCTAATAGATAGAGAGAATAATAATGAATGAGAGAGCATTGAAACGAAGAAAGACGGACCCGAGCTAGGCGAAGGGCCTCCGCGGAGTTAGGAACAAGAGGGCGTTGAAGAAGAGTACTGTCGAGTTCATCGATTTGAGTATTACCATTACTAGAGACTGAGATTTTAGAGGTGTGGTGTTTATAATGTCGATGCCAGTGGCAGAGTGGGAACTTGCGGGGGTATTTAAGGGAAATGAATGGGTTGAGGATAGAGTAAGAAGAGTCGAGTGGTTGTTGTGATTGGGAAGATGAGAGGAAGGAGATGGCACCGAAGGGGCCTAGAGTTGCAGAGAAGGTGGCCATTAAGCACTTCCCGTTGAGTGAAAGGTTGGATTGGATTTTGGATAGAATTTCTTCTCCGACCTCAATATATATTTTTCTTTTATTATGTTTATATGTTTTTATTTCGATATTTTAATTTATAAATGATTTACCGCTTTTTAATCATCATATAAACATTTCAAAGTACTGGTCTTTGACCCGTGCGATGCACGGAATATTTTAGTATGTTATATATAATATTTTATTCTTTATTCGCATAATAAGATACTATATAATTTCTATAATTAAACTGTTGAAATAATTGATATTAAAATAGTTTTTAATATCAAAAATTAAATTAAATAAATTTTAAAACATAAATAAATATTAAATAATTTTTAAATTAGAAAAATTTAAATATCATAAATGATCAGACATACATATCGAGAAATAAATAAACAATTAACTACCGAACATTATGAAAGACTTCTTTGTAAACGACATTTTCGGTTACATTTGTATCTTCACCTTCGTCGTTCGTTATCAATATCTTTAAGCCTTTTTTTGAAGTAACTCTTGACAATGCAACATATAATTGCCCATGAGAAAAAATTGACTGGGGAAGATATACTCCTACATATTTAAGTGACTGTCCTTGACTCTTGTTGATTGTCATAGCAAATGATACCGTCAATGGAAATTGCCGACGTTGAAATTTGAAAGGGATTCTTTTATCGGTTGGAGTCAGTGATAACCTTGGAATAAAAACCTTCTGACCAACATTGTTACCCGATATAATCTTACCTTCAAGGACATATCTTCCCATTTTTGTAATTATCAATCGGGTGCCATTGCACAATCCCAACGACTGATCAATATTTCTCAACAACATTACCGGGACTCCAACTTTTAATTTCAACTTGTGATTTGGTAGTCCTGAAGATACAATGGTGTTTAGAAATTCAGGAGTATGCACATCATCTGGCATGTTAATGTCTGACCTAGCATTACATGGAGAATCATAACTCAAATAAGTTTTTTCTTCTGCAGGTATTAAATCCAACATATAATCATTGAGGGCATCAACAATGGTATTTTTAGGAGCTAATATTGCCCTCTCTTGAAAAAAAGACGAATCATTCAAGTTGTGTAAAAGATTTGGATACGTGTTTTCCACAATAGCTGAAAGTGGATCTCCAAAGCTAGGAATCAACAAATCATGTGGTATCTGCATTATGATATCTACGTCATTAGCTAAAGTTCTGCACTATAAACATCATAAGTTCGATAATATTGTTTCACAGATAATAAGTAATAGCTAAACTTTGAAAGTATACCTTATCATCTAGCAAGATCATATGAAAACTTCCTATATCTGTAGAATTGTAGCGTTCAGGAAGTGTCCAACAGTGAATCACACGAACCCTTAGACGAAACTCAAACTTGCCAGGAACAATTGTAGAAACTGCAGTGATCTTGGGTGGTACGGCAGTTACAACTGCATTTTTTATAAGAAATAATAAATTAAAAGGTATACTAAAATTAAAAATATATGCACTGAAAATATATAAACTGATTAACATCAAACGAAAATATTTTGGACACCTTTTGTAGACATCCTTGTACTCAACTAAGTATAGCAACGTTAGTTTGACACCTTTTGTTTGACAACAACCACCTATTTATAATAATAGTTATAGGATGTGAAGAATAATGCATAGGTGTGTGTATTTATTAATTTAGAGGCTCAAGACTAATGATAACAAAATGCATTAGATGTGTACATTAGCGGTTAATGCAATTTTTTAGATTACCAAAGAATGTATACCTGAGAAGTTAGTGTAACTCTTTAATAAAAAGTGTGACTTGAAATGCTTTAGGTGTATAGGTTAGAAGTTAAAGACATAACTTTTCAGATATGTATTGGATCCAGACGAATGATTATAGCTATTTCTTAAGTAACCAAAGGCCTATTCAATGTATTAAATGATTGTATTATAGTATCAAGACTAATGATTATAATTTTTTTGTTTATCAATTGCATTGGGTGTTGGAATTTACTGCAACTTTGCATATCTACAAAGAATGAATACGTGTGAAGTTAATGCAATTTTTAAAAAGATTCATACTAATCTCTATGTCAACAAATCAATAATAAATTTAAAATATAAATAAATAATTAATAATTAAAGACATTAAAGACATAGTTGGAGCATAATGGAGGGAAAAGAAAGGCAATTAGGGTTTCATAGGAGTTGCATAAGTTGTTCCATTTTATATAATAAAGATATATCCAATAAAAGATACTTACTCGTGAATATTTGGAATTTTTTATAACAATAATCAAGGATTGAAAAAAATATATAAATAATTATGTTTCGAGAAAAATTATACAAATAATCATGTTTCAGAAAATTCTACAATAGAGGCGCCAAGTGAGATGGCGCATGCACCTAAATTTAAAAGGGATGTGCCAAGTGAGATGGCGTCTAGGTGCAACATGTTTGCCCTAAGTCATCTCAGATGGCGCCTAGGTGCAATTAAAGGATAATTTATTTTTTTGCTTTCTATTTTAAATAGGAGACAACAGGTAAACGATATAGCTTTATGAAACTTTGACTTTTCATTAACAAAAAACAATTACATAATGAAGAAAAAAAACATACATATTAATTAGTGGTCTCCCGGAACTCGGTAATGACTTGTGGTTCTGCATCCGCGTCCTCGCCTATCTCGTGATGGGTTTCGTCGATTTTCCTATTGCGGTTGGATCGATGACCCAGCGAAGTCAACGCGTTTAGGGTCCATGAAATCGGTCAGATCACCATATCTGGAAGATCCGCTTTGGTACAGTTGGTTACCCATGCCCTCAAAGTTTGATCGTCTTGGTGGAGGTGGGATTCTATGGATGGTCTATAGCACTTGTCGTCTGAGTAAGGGGTAAAAAGGAAATGAATCTTGGAGTGTTTGGTATTACGACTGTTGGGTGTTATGGTGATGTGGTGGTTGATGGTAAGTTGGGTTGGTTGGGTCATATTCTTCGGGAAAGCCTAGATCAGGACTAAGGTAAGATGATGAGGGGCCTACATTAAGATATGGAGAAGACTGGAATTGTGTGTGGGGCATGTGGGTGTATTGATATTGCGATTGAGATTGGGGTTTGGTGTGGGGCATATAGGACTATTGGTATTGAGGTGGTGATTGGGGTTGAGTGTGGGGCATATGAGCGTATTGGTATTGAGGTGGTGATTGTGGTTGGGTGTGGGGCATATGGGTATATTGGTATTGAGGTGGTGATTGGGGTTGGATGATTGTGGATCTCTATCGTTGGGGTGGTTGGTGGGAGGTTGATATGTGTTGGGTTTGTTGTTGGGGATTTGAGGTTTGTGCCCATTGTGTTCGTGGGCCAACCAAATACCTCGGATGAGACACGTGCATTTCTGGGTTACTAACTGATTTGTACCAATCAAAATATTGATTTGTGTGTCGCATATTATTTTGGTTGAGGAAAATAGGAAATTGCAAGACATGTTGATGACGCATATGCCACATCTTACACCATTTTGGAGCAAAATATTTCCAATTAATAAGACCCCATTGGGCGTCGACCCTTTTGAGATGTCAGAGTGACAAATAAGTGGGATCGCATGGTATCTCTTGATGAATTCTGAACTGCATCTTGACACGGTCGCTGTGGTGCATCTCCACAATGTTGAACCGTAAGATTGCAGTCTTTGTAGTTCGTGTTTGGTTCATGGTCCAAACTCAAATATGGTCTCCATGTAAACTGTGGATAAAATTAAATCAGTATAATGAAAATATAAAAAATAAATAATTTAAAAGTAGAAAAGTTCAAAGGTGCCACGTACATCATCCGGGCCAAGGTGATCCAATAAATTACGATATAGAGCGACATTGAATCTTGGATTCTTGCCGTAATCCATACCCGTCACGCAGTACCTAAAGGAATTGTAAAATAGTTTATTTTAAACATATATTTGGCGAAAGGGTGAATAATAAATGATTTAAGTTCTTGACTTACTTTGTTGTGTATGGGAAAATGAATGTGTTGTTATTGACGGGGTTTAGGGACTCCACTCTCCAGCAACCTTAGGCTTGGAGTAGGAAAGTGCATCCATAAAAAGTACATTTTTCCTTTGTTGCATTTTTATACAAAGAACTGTAGAGATGGGCTAAAATAGCAGAACCCCAACTATACTTTCTTGTTTTCTTAAAGTTCCTCAGCAAATTTAAATACATAAAATTTACATTATTCCCTGTACTTTCGGAAAATAACAAGCTTCCAAATAGTATCATCATATAATTTCTAGTTTTATTACTCTTGCTAGCTCAGACGAATTTTCATTCAACTCAAGAGTCGCATAATGTTTTTTGAGTTCAGTTAGTAATATACATTGGCCTCTAGCACCACTACTTTCTACCATATCTTTGCCCAACAATTCTTCGCATAGAGAATTGAGTTGTTGAACCGACCCATTAACCGCCTTACCATCGATAGGAAGACCCAATAACATGTACACGTCCTCTAGTGTGACGGTACATTCACCTATTAGTAGATGAAATGTGTGTGTCTCGGGTCTCCACTTTTCTAACATTGCAAGTATAAACTTGAAATCAATCGTGCAGTTTGAGATTTTTATAACATTTCAAAAACCTGCATATTCGAGATAGGGCACGATCAACGGGTCGGGAGCAATGTAGTTGTGTGAGCAAATTCTAAATCTTTTAGTATCCTAAATTCAAAATGTAAAAAATGTAAGAGTTCATAAGATGAATAAATCAATAATAATTTTATAAAAATATATTAATATACAAGAATATTTGAGAATTTATAAAAACTTACAAACGCCGCAATATTGTCTCTTATGCCTCTATGAGAATTGCCCATTGTGAGAATAGCCATATTTGAAATTGTATAAGACAATGAAAGAGTTTGTATAAGAGAGTGAGATGATTGTTGATGTAAACCAAGTATATCAGGTGTTGTATTTATAGGTGAAATTGTATCAGAGAGTGAATAA